TCTTAAAATGGCGACTCTTGACTCCTTCCTATTGGAGTCAAGAGTCAAGATGCTACTAAGGTCACTGCCAAGTGATGCTTACAACTGATACGTCAATTTAGGGGTTGCACTAAAAATCAGTGTACGTTGACACCGCAACTTGCAATAGAATTTTTCTCATTCTAGAAGTATTTTTTTTTATTAGTGGTTATAAAAAAATAAAAATTCTTTTTTTATTAATTGCTAAGATAAGAATTATACATATGACATCTTATCTATATATATATAACTGTCATAATAATAAAATCCCCGTTCAAATTATTAAAGAATTCTTATCGAATTTTAAAAAAATACTCAATAAATATTCACCATAACTAAGTATAAAATTATAATAATAATAATATTCTCTCTAAAATTCTTAAATAAATATACATTGGATTTTAAAAAATACTCAATAGACTTTAAAAAAAATTTCAATAAATATCTAATAATTTTTTTTAAAAAAAATCTATTAAAAGGTAGTTTAAATATAATATAAAAGTGTGAGATTACAAATTAAAAAGTTAATTTAATCTATAATTATAGAATAGAGGTGTAGGACCCGAAATCTAATATATCAATAATATTCTCTCATTAATTTCTATAACAATAAATAGCCAGGGAGCCGTTTTGAAAAATAACGGTGTGAGACTATAGATTAGGAAATTAATTTAAAGAAATGATTTATTTACATTTAAATTTTACACATTATTTTTACACAAAATCTTAATTTTTATCCTTATTCTTATTGTAAGTGTGGTGGGTAAGTGTGAAAATTAATTGAGATTTTGTATAACGATAGTGTATAAAAATTATATATAAATAGATTTTTACTCATTAATTTAATCTATAATCATATAATAAGGGTGTGGGATCCAAAATCTAGTAGGAGTATATCAATAATATTCTCTCATTAATTCCAGTAATTCAATTTTGAATAGCAGTTAATTTATCTTATTATTCATCAATTATTGAATCTTTTAATTAAAAAAGATTGATTTATTTCAAATCGTACTCTCATTGTGTATTAAGAAATCAAAGTTAATCAAATCACTGTAATTAGATTTTTTTTTTTCTTTAAAAATCTCGTTGAACATGGCCTACATTTTTGTGAAATATAATCGGTTAATTTTTTCATAAAAAGCTTCGATTGATTTTTGTGAAATATAATCGGCTAATCATATTCATGTTTTTTTTTTTTAACATCTTATTATAAACTAAACAAAAGAAGATAATCCTCCTCTATTCCTAAATCTGTTCCTACTTGACTCAAAACTTGAACTTAAGATCTTCAACTTAAAATCTTCAATTCTTAACCATTGAATCATCCCTATTGAGTTAATCTTATCCATGTTACCACTCTTCTATCTTCAACAATATTAGATTCTCATCTTCCCTCCATCAAACAACCATGATTTTGTCAATTTTCAGGTAATATTAGGCCAGTTGATATTTTATTCTTCAAGTAATATCACATCAATTTATCTTTTATTATTCAAGGAATTGAAATCAAAATTTCTTGATTCTTCAATGTGCAGGTGTGGTAATTGGATCCGGTTGACAAACCACATTGACATACTTAAACCTTGATTGTTAATATTATATATTATTGGCTTTCCATTA